GACACCTGCATCTCATGATTCTATTGGTGTTTTGCAAGCACATGTAGGGCAAAAAGTGACTTAAGTGAAGATATGCATCTTTGTAGTGGTCGACTGATCAGGCACAAATGAGACTTGAGTCCCACAATTGAGAAAGCTATTTGAGTATTCAGACTTTACAAATATGTACTTTCAGCCATCTTCTGGTTGCTTTCCCACATATAGTTTCCAAATGTAAATTGGGGGGAGACAAAAGTGATATTAAGAACCTATTAGCAACTGAGCTGCTTTCTGTGGGGCAAGCCCAAGACATTGCAGCACTTGAGGTGGAAAATCCAAGTGGCATCCTCCTCAAATTAATTAACCCAGGACACAAGCCTCTAGGAAGTTCTCCTGCACAAACCTAATTAACGACTGTTCATTTCAGTGAAACTTGCACAGGAGAAATTCCAGGCGAATTGTCCCCCTGCATTAGATCTGCCTGCTTCACACTCATAAAAACTCATCTTCTTTGCATTCATGTCAGATACAATGCTCTGCAAATTTCCTTTTCTGATGATAACACTTGTCAGGATTCCTGCATTGGCACCTGTCCTCATCTATCTACATATGCTAATTTTCATGTTGAAAATAAAGCCAGGATGTTTAGGGCCCCTCCAGACCACCTGTTTGTTGAGCATTCATCCTTATTTGCTTGCAGGGTGTTTATATGTGCTCCTGTTAGGGGTTTGTTAAGTGGATGTGTTGCTTTCATCCACTTTAATGGCACAAACCTAACATTCTGTTATGCTATGCACTTGATTCCCTCCCACAAAATACTGACATTCTGGAGGTGCCTGTTAGATGGAGCACATTAAGGGAACAGAAAAAGGGGGGGGACCAGTTTCATAACTGTTCTGCAGTTTTATGCAAACCGTGTCACGAGTTGGCAGATTTTCACAGAAGTTTACTAAATTCCTGCCATTCAGCACACAAATTCAAGGCCATTTCACAAGTTACGTGAAGGCAAAATTGGTATTTTTGGTTAGGATACACTCAGCAGGCAGCTGCAGCCAATTACAGCTCCCCGACTAGTGTAATTGTACATGTTATATGAAAAGGCATGTTATGAAGCACAGCTATATGCCTTTTCAAAAATGCAGAGGAGTCTCAGGAGGCTGTTGTGAGCAGAAGAGGAGCAAGGGAGAAAAGAGTTTTGAACCTTTTCTCTCTAGGCAATTTCCTCGAAATCTCTTACGCACATTGTTGTGATTGCTATGTTTTTAACTCTGTATTTTCATTCTGTTTGCAAATTGCAGGCTATTATTGCATTAGGGAAGGAAGGAAGGAAGGAAGGAAGGAAGGAAGGAAGGAAGGAAGAATTTCCCCCTATGTTGTGCCAGATTATCCATCTAGAACCTCACATGGGGCAAAGCATTTTGAGGGGGGAAATGGCTGGTACAGAAAGGGTTAAGCCCCTGCTCCATTGACTGTTGCCCCCCTCTGCTCAAAACTGCACCTTCCTTTGGTTCTTTTACAGTAACAAACAAAATTGCCAGGGCTTTGTTATAAACATTTGCATATACTTTACTTTGCACCATTGAGTACCTTACTTTATGTCATTGTGTAACAACATCATGGTTGTTTACTATGATTTTCTTCCCTTTGTTTAGGGGGCTTCAAACTTGGCGTCAGCAAAGCTTTCTGCCACACATCCAGTGATCCGGAAATACAAGGTAATAAGTTGACTGTTACCTTCTCTGAAGTGGAATATGTTGAGATTTCTGAGGGTGACTGATAGGGCAGTGAACCAACGGGGCTCTTATTTCAGAGCTAGGATGCTTGATTAAGAATTTGGCATTTTGGTGACAGAATGGAAGTGCCCACACACACAGAATAATTGTGTGTTGCTATCAAAGCATTTGTTGGGTCTGTTTTGACTGTACAGCTTTTCTGTATTATTTGAAAATGCTTTGCTGCAGGGTGGGTAGCAATCCAGTATGATGATCAGGAAAAATGCATTTTGGGGGCATATGGATTATCTAAAAACAAGAGCTAGTCCCCACCACTTTGATGTATGTGTCAGATTTCTGTCTGCCCTTCCACTACACTGCATAGTCCATTTTAAATTCTGATTTTGTAGTTGTGTCCCATTACTCCCTGCTCCCCAGTGGTTTAGGTGAGCTGCCTGCCTTTTAAAAATGTTTACTGAACTACTATTTAAATGTTGATGTGATCCAAAATCTCTTCACATTTTTTAAAAAAATGTATTGTTTGTGTGTGGGGCGGTGGTGGTTTAATTTGCAAAACTGCTCTGGGGAGGTAGGGGATCAAAAGTTACCACTACCAGCCAATCAGTGCTGTGCAAAAACAGCTTCAGCTTCCAGCCTACAGAATCAGTTTTCCTTAAGAAAGGAATAGTCATATAGTCTAACCACAATGTGGCAAGCAGGCTTCCTGGGCACAGCAACTACCGAGAAGGGTCACCTGGGGTTTTGGAGTGTGTTGTCATCAATATGCTGAGGACACATAGTTCTGTTTCTCTGCATGGTAAACCAGTGCCTGACTTTGGTAATGGGCTGGATAAGGGGGCTGGGGTGGTTCTTCTGTCCAGAGAAGTTGCCTGTCCCATGCTGTGGAACTGTGTTTCAGCAGTGATTTTGCAAGCATCCTTGCTTTTGACTTTCAGAGGCCTCTTGAAGACTACTTGGGCCAACAGACCTTTGGAGCCATTTAATTTTGATTAGCCTTACTGATTATCTGTATTCTTGAATTTTTATTTTCATCTTTAAATGATGTTTTATGTTTGAGCAGTATATACTACCTTGATATTTTGTGATATAGCAGCACAGAAAAAAAATTCAGAATATATATGTGTGTGTGTGTGTGTGTGTGTTAAGTGGTGCTTGGACGGGAATCACAATTTTGCTGAAGGAGCAGGTTCTTAGCTTGAGGGTACTTCTAAGTCCAGTACTGAGCCCTTAAGAATGGTGTGGTGAAGGTTCTGAGTAATTACTGTATTTTTTATATATATAGTCCATTCTTTTCTCCACACATTTGGGTTTGAGAGAGAGGCCTATGCACAGCCTAATTCATGGGAGAACCAAGATGAAGGCTAAACATTGGAACTGTGTATATAAAACAGAGAGAAACCCCAACCTCTCTTTTAAGCAGATTTGTTCTGGTGGTGGTGGTTGTTATTTAATCTGTATACTGCCCTTCATCCAAAAAGACAGGGTGGTTTACAACATACAAATACAAAATGAGAACACAAAATACATAGTGGTGGTTGGCTTTGGAGGGCTCCAACCCACTCATTAAAGAGTGCCTTTTAAAATCTACCCCAACAGACTCTTCCACCCATTAGGAACATCCATGTGCCTAACCCTCCTGCCAGCCGCAGCCAGAGGAAGCTCACGAGGAACAAAGATGCCAGCAGGTTGTGGGTGAAGCCGGAGCCCCCCAAGCCCTTCCTCATGCACTTGGGGGTTACAGCTAGGTCACACTCAACTGATGACTACCTGGTCAACTTCCCTAATGACCTGACCCAGCACTTCCTTTTCCGGTAAGGCCTTGCCCTGTCCTCAGGTCCCCAGGGGAGATGTTGGTTCTCTGTATATTCTCCTACAAGACAAATAAATGAGATGCTGTTTGTTACAGGCATCCAAAACGGTTTCTTCAAAAAGCAATGGGTGGTATTCAGTGCTGGTCTTACTCAGAGTAGACCTGGTGAAGTTAGTGGACATTATTATTATTAATTTATATACAGTGGTACCTCGGGTTACATATGCTTCAGGTTACATACGCTTTAGGTTACAGACTCCGCTAACCCAGAAATAGTACCTTGGACTGGCAGAGATGACTGGCAGAATCCGAGACCGGGGGAAAGAGGCGTTGGATGAAGACTGGAACAAATTTAAAGTTTATCTTAAAAACTGTTGTAATCTGGAAAATTAGAGGATCAGGGTAATAAGAGATAAAGAACTACAGCTGTTTTAATATCTTATGGAAGTTAAATTTACGAAATAGAAATAAGTTTTAATACGAAAGGGTTGCTGAAAAATCTTGAAACAAGAATGCAGAAAAGGGGTGGTACGGGGAAGTCGTTTTTGTTTTTATCTATGTTTTTGCTTTGTTTTCTTTGTTACTTATGGAAAATTAATAAAAATTTATTTAAAAAAAAAAAAGAAATAGTACCTTGGCTTAAGAACTTTGCTTCAGGATGAGAACAGAAATCGCGCGGCGGCAGCAGGAGGCCCCATTAGCTAAGGTGGTGCTTCAGGTTAAGAACAGTTTCAGGTTAAGAACGGACCTCCAGAACTAATTAAGTTCTTAACCCGAGGTACCACTGTACTGTAATACTGATATGTCATGATGGCTTCTAAGTGGTTTACAACTATAATATCAATCCATAGTTAAAAGAGAGAACACTAAAACTTCCTTTATTAAAATATACAATAACACAAATAATTAAACAACATAACAATTAAAAAGTTAAAATAATAAAATCACAAGTTCAGTTCAGGGGAAGCTTGCTTTACAACATGACCAGCATATTAATTTCAACTGGTCTACACCATCTACTCTAGGTAGGACTTAGTTGAATACAACCCAATGCATAAGGAAATTGTGAATCTTGCGTAAATCTCACTCTTACGAAAGCTGCTTTACATGTTGTTTTTCTTAACATTTGTATGTTGGAATTGAGAAAAGCAGTGTGTGAATCTGATTCCTTCCAATCCACTGCTGTGGATTGTGGGGAAATTTAACAAACTGAGCCACAGGACAAAAATCTTGTTGGCTTCTTTCTAGAGACCCTATGGTTCATGGCATTCTCGTATCATTTGACAAGGCACTTTAATTCTCCTTGTTGTCCTCTTTCCAGCCAACTTAAGAAGACAACAATCAGAAGGAATACGCTGAGCAGGAGCAGAAGCAGGAGCAGGAGCAGGAGCAAGAGTGGAACTCCAAGTCTGACGGCGTTAGCAAGCTGCACGGAACAGGAGGCACAGCTAGTGACAGACATGCTGTCTACAGTGATCAAGTGGGTGGCCCCTCAACCAGAATCCTGCTGCTCAAAGGCAGAATATGCTTTCATAACAGTCTGCTCAGATGCATAGAATTGCAAGGCTAGGCGTTTGCATTTGTCACATTTGCCTTCTCTTCCTCCAAGGTGGTCAGCAATAGTGTACAGGCGTTATCACACTGTGTCCTCACAGTAATCCTATGAGGTGGGGAAAGGCCATGGGGAATGGGTGTGGCAGGGTACATGCTTGGCATGCAAAAGGTCCCAAGTTCAATTCATGGCTTCTCCCGGAAGGGCTGGGGAAAGACTCCTGTCTGCAACTCTGGAGAGCTGTTGCAAGTCAATGTAGTCAATAATGAGCCACATGGGTTCTGGATGAGGCAGATTCCTATGCTCTTGCATGAATTAGGCTGAGACTTGGCATTATCCAAGGCAGTGGAGTGAACCTCATGACTGAATGGAGATTTGAAAGTCAGGTCGTCCTGGTCCATGTCCACTTCACTGTAGTGACTAAGTAACATGAAGGTAAATTAGTTCAAATTCCTGCAGGAAAGGGAAGATTTAATCAATTGTGGACATAGGGTGATTATTATTATTATTATTATTTAATTTGTATACTGCCCTTCACCCAAAGATCTCAGGGTGGTTCACAACAGAAAAATACAAAATACATAAAACAAAGACAAACCAATAACCTCCCTCCCACAAACACATTAAAAAAGCCATCAAGTGTTAATCAGCCAAGCGCCTGGTTGAAGAGAAATGTTTTTGCCTGGTGCCAAAAGGTGAAGGGACCAGGCAAGCCTCACTAAGGAGAGCATTCCACAAATGGGGACACCACAAAAAAGGCCCATTCTTGTGTTACCACCCTCCAGACCTCTTATGAAGGAGGCACATGAAGAAGGGCCTCAAATGATGATCACAGGGTCGGGGTCAGTTCATATGTGGAGTGGCAGTCTTTTGAGCTTTTGCATCTTTTGTCCTGCTTTCTTGCTGATAAATTCACCATGACATCTCACTGCAGCCAATTTTACTAATTTAGTGTGATGTGGGGGAACCTATATTCAGGGAAGACTTCCAATACCTTTTTCTTACACGTATCCCTTCGGATGTATACCTGGATAGTCTCAAGCGTACGCTGGCTTTTCATATTCCCAGGGTTTGGGGGCAGAGGGCAACAGTGTGACAAAGGCAGCCAGCTCTGTCTTTCACTCCAAAGTGAATTCTCTCCTGACCTTCTAGGGGGCTGCTGGAGGAAAGCCAGTTCCAGGAAGCAGTGATCAGAAGCCTAGCAGAGCCCACACCCTACTTCTGCCAGTTCTGGAGTGAGGAGTCAGCCAAACAAAAGCACAGTCCAGGTGGTACCTCTACAACACCAACTTCCCCAGAGTTTAGCCCTAAGTGTAGAGCAGAAGATGAAGATGCTGGAGGAGTACAAGAGAGATCTCCTACAGAAACTTCAGAAGCTCAAGAGAGTCTAAGTGTCATTATTCGGAAGGAACAATTCCGGGAGCAGAAAGAAACCATTATCAGGTGAGCCAAATTGAGGGGCATATCTAAGTAGGGGTTTTCAGCAAAATAGCTATATTCTGGTGACAATACTTAACGTAATGCGAAAGATGCAGAGAACAATGGGCAGGATTCAACAATGTTTTTGAGCTAGTGTCCCAACTTAAAAAACATTTAAAAGAATGTCACTCATTCCATGTCCCTGCGGCTCACCTGTGTCCTTAAAATGCCAACTCTTGCCACAATTTTCCAAATTTCAAAATATTGCAAAGCAACACATTTTAGGTTATATTCCGCACTATCAAAGTACCTGTTGCTATATCATGGGATGCATTTCTCTTCCTCCACAAAAGCCAAAAGCAGCCATTCATGTCTGTGGGAGAAAATAAAGCAGCTATAATTGGAGACATTGAAGAGGTAGTGCAAAACTTGGCCTCATCCCTGATGTTGAGCCCATCAGTATCTGAGATGGAGGGATGTTTTTTCCCCTCCACTCCAGTATACTCCCTTTAGAAAGCAAAGGGACAAATACATTCCTATGGGAGAAAGAAATGAGACTGCAGTCTGGCACATACTTGAGCTAGGGACAAAATTTACTCCCTTCCCTGACAGGGCTGTTGCTTTTCTTTTGCCCATAGAAGTGAGCAACCCCTGACTTCTATGGACATCTAAGAGAAAAAGTAAATACAATCCATCACAGTGATGATCCTATTACTCTGAAGCTGAGAAGGATTCCAGTGTATTAGAGAGAAGCAATGAATCTGTGCCTAAGCTTCAGCCTAGAACCTCTCTTACATTTACTAGCCTGGTGCGTGTGTGCTGGTACTTTGAGTCCCATCATAGACATTCAGTTCTATATATGGAATCATCTATTCATCTGTCCTGTCTGTGAACACACCCTTTCAATAAAACTGGTTTAGCTTTTTTTCATTCAGGCCAGTGTGCCTTTGGTTTGTTAGAACTTTGCCAACTTGTCAGCGGTAGCGAGTAGGGTGGGCACTATTCTGTAGTACCATTCTGTAAGCATGCTTGGAAACACCAACTTCCCTGGACAGGGAGAACTGAAATGCTCTTTTCTCTAAAGGTTGCCAGCATTTTCAAATCTGACTGAGATGGTGCTGGAAAACACCATCAGAAACGTTCTGGTGGAGGCCAGTCGTGGGGAGGTAGTGCTGACAGCACGACCCAGAATCATTGCACTCCCTACTGTTTTCTCCCAAAAGTGAGTAACGGGGTATGGAATAATAATAATCATCATCATAATAATAATTAATGATTTCATTTTTGTATGAGCCTAGAACAAAAGGATAGAAGAACTTGGTTGATGCCTATTTAGTAACTATGAAAGCTTAGTAGCAGAGGGTCATTTATGTCCTTGTGGTTGGAATGTTCGTCCCTCTTTTCTTTTGTATGCTATTGGTTTCCTTTTTTGATTGTCTCACCTTGTGGTGTGATTGGCCTGCTCAGTGGCCACGGAATGGAAGCACAAAAGATGAGGAAAATGGGTATATGGTTGAACTTAAAGGAGATGGTGAATAAAGGGAAAGAAAGCTTGGGGGAGGAAGAGGTGTAGTGTGCTGAGTGCTGTGGCCTCAGGTGCAATTTTGAGAGGGGTCTACGCAAACAGATGACCCCACAGTAGGCTGTGGTGCTTGTCCAGGGGAGGAGAGGAAGTGAGTGAGCAGTAGCACTGCCACCCACCCTCCTTGGCCGTGGCACTCCTTGTGCCCAGCGGCAGCAGCTCTGCTGGTGGGTTACTTCTGACCCGGCAGCAGAAAGCAGAAGTGTTGGTGGCAATGCTGTCACCCACCCTCCTTGGTTGTGAGGCGCTTTACGCCTGGCTGCAGTAGCAGACATGACCCGGTGGCAGAGGGCAGGAGGAGAGTGGGCAGCAGCTTCCCTGGCACTGCCAGCATACACTCCGCCGCTGGCCGGAGGAGAATAGTAAGAGGTAAAAGCAGTAAGGAATCCACTAAGGTTAAGTTAAGCCTGGAGAGGGATGCATCAGTCAGAATAGAAGGTTCTCATGGTACCTGCTGCTACACAAAGAAATCAAGCAATAAAGTATGAGAGGTGTGCCATTGGGATCCTGTTAGGTGGTATCTTCCCAAGGTCTCTAGCAAAGAACATGCCCAGCCATGCTCTTTTAAAGTCAGAAACTAGACCTGGGGCTTTAGAATACTTTCTTTAGTATTATGAAGTTGTAAAAACTGAAATGGAGCTTTTTATTTCAGAACTATCAGTCCCATTGCTCCAATGCACAAACCGTCTCTGCTCCGCCCCACCACAGCACCACTGACCTGTGCCTCCAGAGAGAACAAGGACTCTGATGGGCAGCGGCACATCATCTTGCCCCCCTAGGGGCTTGAAGAACTCTGGTATCAAACAAGTCCAGTATTTGCATCTGGCTAGTCCCTGTAGGAGCCATGGTGCCACTGGAAAGCTGCTTTCTTGGAGGTGGGTCAAAGGAGAAGCGACTTGCAAAGAAACCTATTCTTTGCCCTACCCTATTCAATAACAGCACGGGATCTTTATCATGCAGCCTTCAAAATACAACTCTGGTTTGCACCAAAGCAGAAGTGGTTCCACTTGTGCCATGCGTGTGAGAGATTATTTTTTCAAATTAAGATGACTTTGTTTTCATCTTGGCAAGCCTCTTGTATTGTAAGTGTTCAACTTTCCCTCCACCAAGGGGCAGTGCAGTCTAGTTTTGTCGGCGCTCCAGCCTCCGCAAAGGACAGCACAGGGTGCACTTTTCCTTTCTGCTACGATTCCTGCATAATGAAATCTGGCAACCAGATATGCAAGCCACAAAGCCTTTCTGAACAGTACAAACCAAGATTAAAATAATACAAACTTGATGGAAAGCCAACTGGGGTGGCCTGAGCCTCAGCATGCAGCCGTTTAAGAAACAGGCTGTTTATGGAGAGACTCTTCATTCTGTCATTCCTTTTTAGTTCCCAGGAGCTAGAGGTCTGCAAACCTTGAAGGTTTTTTTTTAAAGGCTAGATCACCACACAAACATTTTCAGAATGCTATACATTGTCGGGCTTGAGCCACTGAGCTGTGAAGTTTCTGTAATAGCAGTGTGTTGCAGTTTCTAAACATCACCAAATATACTCTCCTAGCAGCTTGATTTGCATCTTTCAAAGATCTCTTTTGAGTGTCCTGTTTTTGAATTTGCAGAGGTATCTATCCAAAATGTGTTCTAATTGTAAGACAAAATTGTTAGCATAACCTCAACACACATAAGCATCTATGAAAACTGGAACAAAGAATTTGAAGTGTGAGAGGTAGCATGATCCTGTGTTTTCTGTTATGCAGCAACCAGCCAGCAGACTGACAATAAACCAACGGGTACGCCATTCACTGCAATGTCTTGTGTGCAAAAGCTTTACCTCATTATAGAATTATAAACTTTTCTGTGGACAGTAGTCTTGCCTATCATCCTTGATCAACATTCCCCCCCCCTTTTTTGACAATGCTGAATTGCCATTGTGCCTAACTCATCCATTTGCCAGAGCTGCTTTGTTCATTTTTAGCAAATATTTTAACTTATTTCACCATCTCCTCTCAAGGACACCTGACCCCAATCATTGGGGTATGTGAGGTGGTCTAAATTCAGAATTTATTGAGAAAAGCAACCCCCCTCCAATTTCCAAACTTGCAATTTTAGGTGGAAGATATGGGTATGAACAGGGCACATGCAAAGGTTTCTCCAAGGTTGGTGAGAGCAAAAAAATTAAATGAAATGTGACAGGGCATTATGTATAGACATACCTTCAGGATGACAAATTCCATGCAACCAAATATTGTGTTTCTGTTTCTGGAGCAGAGGCTCCTGTGACTAAAACAGCATGAGAAGAGTACTGAAAACAGTGGCTTTATTCAAACAGCAGTTTAGTTCAACAATAAACACTTTTGTTCCTTCCACACTGTCAGTACTCAAGTAGCTACTTCAGCAATATCTTCAACAACTCTCGCCATCACAGACTTCTCATGCCACCTTAGAAGGGGGACTTAACACCTGAGCCCATAAGCCTTTTAAAAACAAAGTATTTGTACTGCAGCTAATTTATTTCAGAAAGTCTGAATTGGCTTTAATTTGGCTGCTCTTTTTCCCTGAGTATCATTACCTATCTGCAAACCAGGGCAACAGCTCTATTAGCTACTTGGTAGTATTTAGGTGTCAAATGGAGACAGCCTAGGAAGAATCTCAAGAGAAACAAAGCAGAGGGGCAGCTATCTATCGTGGCTGGATTGGAAACACTTAGAGAGGATGCAGCCAAAACAGCCGTGTCCATGCTGCTTAGCAGCCTGGGAACAGCAGTATCTTTCCTGTTGCGCAGGTGATGGCTGAAGCTTGGTGGGAAAAGTGGGCAGGGGTTGGTGCACTGCATGGAGAGCAGCCATGGGTTGCGTACACGTGAACTGGAATATGGTCTGATGTGATTAAATTATTGGCTGCTCGAGGCCTCGCTGTTATTAGTAAAGCACTTCTGCTCTGTTCTTTAGCCTGCACATTGCTTCTCTTTTCTGTGAGCTGTTTTAGCTAGCTGCCTTGAGAGGGAGACTAACTAAACCCAAGAGAGAGCGCCGGAGCCAAGCTATGCCATAGCTTCATTATGTGATGGCAAGCAGCACCATGCTAGGCCCTCGAAAGGAAGCTGAGCATGGAGCCTCCAAGCTGCGGAGCTTCAGGGCCAAACGAACATGACAATAATTGTGTGAATGCAATTACTGTGCACTTCCCCCTCCTTATGTAAATAGCAGTCACAGTCTGAGGATCCTGTGAGATGTGGAGAGCAGTTTAACACTTTGCCTTCCTGCCACATTCCTGGTCCCAAAAATGCCTTTCTGAAGCTGCTATTTGCATTTAAAGTGTAGAAACATCTCTCTCTCTCTCTCTCTCTCTCTCTCTCTCTCTCTCTCTCTCTCGTTTTTTAAGCCTGCGTCAGCAGCAAGGAAGCTGAAGAGTTAAACTCACCCCTCTCTTCCCCACATGGTCCCATGGTCAAGCTTCTTCCTGGCTGATGTACATAACTGAAAAGAAAAGTGTACATTAATTGTAGTCATGTAATTAACATCTAGTTGGCAGTCAAGTTTAGCCCTGTGACTGTCTTGCTTACTCCCTTGCAGGATCACAAAACTAAACCAACTCATGTTTGAACCACAAAGTGCTGTTCTATTGTAACAGCATAATGCTGAATAAGAAACAAATAAGTGCTTTATGCAGCCAGGATCTGGTGCCTTGCCAGCAATCTAGCTTCCTGGAATTGCTACTGGAATTGCTGTTTGCCATGAGATAGTTTCTCGAGGAGAAAAAAACCCTCACCCAATCTGGGGGAAAAGGGTATTAGCTAGACACCAACCTTTGCTCCTGTGCCTTTAACATAAGTTTGAACAGATGTTGGTTGTGAAAATGATTGCCTTTCTACCTTGACAAGCTGCTTCTACACATCACACATCAAGCAACAGTTAAAAAGCACAAGAGCAGGCCAGGTTGAATGTGTTTGTATTTGGTCAGCTGGCAACCCCACAAGCCATGATGCAATCACTGTAGGCAATCTGACTCCCAGCCTATGACTATCTATTCTATTCTACCTTATTCAACCCCCCCCCCCGGGAAAACACACCTTTCTTAGTTTGTCTATTATCTCCCCACCCACTGCAACACTGCTTTTAGTTCTCATTTGCCCTTTAGTATCCCCCTAGACACCCAAGCTTCATTCATTTTTTATTCTCTATTCCAAAGAGCATTATATATTGTCAGTGGCTCTTCATTGTTGAAATAATTGTGACTGGAGATACAAAAACACAGAATTATAAAAATATTTCTGTTCAAATGTACTGAGAGGGGAAACAACTTGCTCATTTGTATGAACCATGTTTCATACGTTTCCGAGAACAATTCAAAGTGTTGGTGCTGACCTTTAAAGCCCTAAACGGCCCTGGTCCTGTATACCTGAAGGAGCGTCTCCACCCCCATCGTTCAGCCCGGACACTGAGATCCAGTGCCGAGGGCCTTCTGGCGGCCCCCTCATTGCAAGAAGTGAGGTTACAGGGAACCAGACAGAGGGCCTTCTCAGTAGTGGCACGCACCCTCCCTTCAGATGTGAAGGAAATAAGCAGTTATCCTATCTTTAAAAGACATCTGAAGGCAGCCCTGTTTAGGGAAGTTTTTAATATTTAATGCTGTACTGTTTTTAACACTTGATTGGGAACCATCCAGAGTGGCTGGGAAAACTCAGTCAGATGGGCGGGGTATAAATTATTATTATTATTACCACAGGCCTGTAAACAGAGCAATCCAATGCATTTCTACTCAGAAGTAAATCCCTCTGAGTTCAGTGGAACTTGCTCTCAGGAAAGTGTATAGGATCACAGTCTAAATGTGTAAAGGTTTATCAATACACAAATTATCTCCTGATAAATTGATTCTTGATATATGGTTAAAAAAATCAAGATTATGAGGATGAGTTTTTAAATATGTATTATGTAGAAGAGATAAAACACCATGATAAAAATTTAATGTTTTAGGATTCACAGAGTCTAATTGTTAGTTCCATTCTGCTTTGTCTTGTACAAAATTTATGTAATGGGGAACAATGACAGGAACATGCACTGATACAAAGACAAACCCCTATTTGCTTTTGTTTTCTACTCTCTTCTACTATTAAAAGACTAACAATGTAAAGAAATTTTGGAAGATTGTGGTCTAATATCCTGTGAATTGCTATATAAAAGGGTGTGAAATCTCTTCATAGCTCCAAAAGAAGATGGATTTTGCATCTATCTCAGATGCAGGGCTGGGTTGTGACCTGCATAATTTCAGTCTCCAGTTTATATTGTGCAATCTGGATTCCAGCTTGCAAAAAAAAAGTTGCAGCTTTTGTAGGATCATAATTCACAAAATGTGGGAGCGTGTTGAGAAAGAAAAAGATTAACCAACATATAGAGCATCTTTCATAACTTCATGCAACAGCTTTGAATGTATCTAACATATGAGGTGAGGTGTTTAGCCAACAATCTTCCACTGTTTTCATACACTTCCTAAAATGTACAGTAACATTTAGTTCATTTTAACTGTCATTTTAACGGGTGGCGCTGTGGGTAAAACCTCAGCGTCTAGGGCTTGCCGATCGCATGGTCGGCGGTTCGAATCCCCGCGGCGGGGTGAGCTCCCGTCTTTCGGTCCCAGCTCCTGCCCACCTAGCAGTTCGAAAGCACCCCTAAGTGCAAGTAGATAAATAGGTACCGCTTTACAGCGGGAAGGTAAACGGCGTTTCCTTGTGCTGCGCTGGTGCCGGCTCGCCAGAGCAGCTTTGTCACGCTGGCCACGTGACCCGGAAGTGTCTCCGGACAGCGCTGGCCCCTGGCCTCTTAAGTGAGATGGGCGCACAACCCTAGAGTCGGACACGACTGGCCCGTATGGGCAGGGGTACCTTTACCTTTTAACTGTTGCTTTCACATAGTGCACATTCCTGCTTGGTTTTCCATCAGTGGTTATGCCCAATTGAATATCCTTTCTTTCCCCCATACATACTGTTTCTCAAAGAGTAGCCTTTTGTCCATCTTGTTAAAGGGTGTGTACAGACATCCAGGTTTTTTTGGCAAATCACCCCACCCTGGAGCGTTTTGATTGTGGAACACAGTTGTCCTTCCTTCACACTGAGGCTCTGCAACAGGGAAAACCGGTTTTACCAGTACACAGTATTCTTGTATTCTTGTTGCTGGCAAATCTCCTACCCTCACTCTATAAGCAATTTTTTTTATTAATTGAAGTGTGTTCTTGTGTAATCGTCATGGGCACATGTGCCTATGACATCACTTATGACAATCAACGCCCCAAGCAATTGTAATGAATTTTAAAGGCTTAGATCCTCATTCCTGATTTCAATGGAAAATGACTATCCCTATTCCCTGGTGCCTTGCTGGTTCCCCAGATTCAAAACCTATCTTTCCCCCTCTACACTGGAACATTGCCCTCTTGGATATCATTCTGCATGTACAGTACAGCTACTGCACATTTCTATCTAAGATGACAACTTCGGCACAAAGACGTATTTGAGAGGCAAATTTCACCAGGAGCAGCTCTTTCCAGCACCACCAGGTACAAGCAGGGGGTACAACAGTTGTGCATTTTCCACCTGACAGCCTTGGGGGGGGGGTTCTTTGGGCCAGGTGTGATCCTCAGACCTGTTAAACATTTAACACCTGCTGTATCTCTCCATTGTTGGTCTGAAAAAGAGAAAGAACAAAAGCAGTGGATGGATCACCTGTTGGCAGGCTGTTCTTTGCAGGCTTATGATGATGATGATGATGCTTTCCTTCAGGCAACTGGTGCATAAGGGTCCGGTTTTGTTGGCTAGGACAGGGTGTCATTCTATGGCATCCTTGCTGTAAGTGGGGAAAGGAAAATGCTTTTAAGGCCATTAGAATGTCCTGTATTGTTCATGACAGTTCCAACAAAAAACAATGCAGTGGCTGCTGGCTGGTCCTTTCAGGAAAATAAGGCCCTGTCCTCTGTTAGTCCCACCTGCCTATCTTTTTACTTAGAACCATTCCAGAGGGTGACACTGACTGCCCGTGTTGTCCTTGAAGAACCCAGCAGAAAGAAAAAAGGGGACAAAACAAGAGTTAGTTGGCTCTGCTTACCATTGTCTCTTGTTCCACCTACTGTTTGGGCTCGCTGCCTTCCGCCCCAGTAGTTCTACTGTAACAAAGTAAACCAGAGCTTTCCAAACTGTGTGGCGCAACACGTTAGTGTGTCAGCTGCAGTGTGTAGTAGTGTCATGCAAATGCTCTTATAAGGTAGTTTAACCTCCGGTTTACAAGTAAAACTGAGTTACTGTGTCACAAAATGCTGCATGTCTAAAAAGTGTGTCACCAACATGGAATGTTTAGAAAGCTCTGAAGTAAATGATCACCTTTCTGTCTATCATTTGAAAATCAGGGATTTATAAGAGACCGTGACATATAGTTTTATGCAGAGATCTTATATTGAATTTATGGCTCAATTTATGTTTTGTATAATTATGTAGAAAAGAAACACCCACCTGGATTTCTACTGATACTGGTCCCACCAATGCTGCTGGTGTTACTGCACACATTATATTGCAAGCACAAATTGAGTCCCCTCAAAAGTGAAACTAACATGCCACTTAAGACAAGAAAATTGAGTGAGAATGTCTCTGAAATATGTAGGAAAAAACCCATTGTATGGTGTTAGGGATGTCACTAATCTCTTTGTCCTTAAGATTTCCTGCTGCAAAATGGGAGCAAGAGTAACAGCACACATTCGTCTTGAAATCAAGTAACATTGTAAAGCATTGTCCACCCTGTAAGTGTTACCTAAATAAGAAAAACCACACAGTGTCAAGTCATCCTGGAAAAAGGGCAAAATTCAATAAAAAATTAATCTCTTTGAATTCCTACCAATCTTTTTCACACACACACCCAATTGCTTTCCTTCTTCTACTTTCCTTCTTATACTTACAGCCTACAGGCACTTCTGACTGTCACACATACACTACAATAACAATCAAGATCTTGTGGCATCTGAAAGAATAACAAATTATGACACAAGCTTTTCATGGACATCAGATGCACCTACACTCTGCTATAGTGGTCATAAAGTCTACAACAAAGGCTGCACCCTTCTGTTTTATGGGACTGCTGGCACATGGAAATTCAGTTTCATTTCTGACAGGCTACTCTAAATGATGTACAAGTCCAACCTTACAATTTCATTGCTGGCATAGCATAAAAGGGGAGAACTAGGCATCATGCAAAACACAGGAATGCCTCTTAAGGCCAGAGGTCCCATGTCCATTGCCCCACGATGTGGATCAAGGGGTGTGTGTGTGTGTTATGGTATCATTACTAAATATTACTAAATACTAAATATTACTAAATATATCATTACTAAATATTACAGGGGAAAGGAACTCCAGATGTGGCAGCTGTTTTGGGCAGCCGTTCTGTGCTTTGGATAAATTCTAGTTTTGCCTGGAGAGACTCCATTCAATGTGGGTTCTTGGGATGCAGAGCCCCTAGCAACATTGACTGCAGGCTGCCTTAGAGCCCTAGGGCCTTAATTACCAACACTGTTTTAGGGCAGAGGTCAGCAACCTAAGGTCCATGGGCCGGAAGCGTCCTGTGTAGAGATCATTTGACCAGCCCATGAGCTGCCCCTGAACTGAGCTGGCTGCTCACGCACTTCGCTTCCACAGCACCGAAAATCGCATCGATGCAGACGCTGAAAAACGCATCTTGCAGGCGCATACGCCGAAAATCGTGGGGGCGCACGCTCATTCACGCAATCCAGCCCACAGAGGGATCTCCGTGGGACCAATCCGGCTCAGGCAAGATAAACCTTGTTGACCCCTGTTTTAGGGGTTTGATTTTTTAAAAAGCTAAAATACTGTTTCGTTAGATGACATCCATTAACTCAGTTTGGGAGTATAGTTTAATCCCTGCAACATGGAACCAGAAATGCATTCCCAGAACAGGCAACGCACACACTAGCTTTAATGTTTCCTTTCAGTCACATAAAGCTGCCTTAACTACTAGAACTCAACACTCTCTTCCAAGTCCCTGGTTCAGATACCTAACAGAAATCTCATTCTCATGGCCTTTTTGGTTTCCATAGAGAGAACTCTGTCCCACTGACTTCAGCGGTGGCTCTGCCAATGCTGATGTTGTTTACAGAAGACCAAGGGGAGAGGGATCCCAAGGAGAGAAGAATTTTGTCCAAGTGGAATGACTGTAGATGTGTAGTACAGGTTCAAGTCCGCTCAGCATGAAATCACTGGGTAGACCTTCAGGAAGTACACCTCTCACCTTGGTGCCCAATATGTAAAATGGGAGGAATATACCATAGCAAAATGAAAACTGTAAAAAGCACTTTAATATAATTAAAGGGACTAGGCAAATGATTAATACAAAGACTGAATCTTGTTCTCCAGCAGAAGCCCAAGCATACAGTCACCTCCCAAGCTCCAGTACATTGTGTGCAGTTCTTTTGCTCAGCCATCTCCAAACTGTGCGTAAGGTACGCATGTGTGTGCGTGTATAAACACCACGCTGAGTTACATTCAGTTTGTGACTTTCTCCAGCCTCTCACTCCTCAATAGTGCACTCAAGGTACTCTTCCCACTTAGGTCTGATTTGAATTTGCTGGCCTCTGCCTGGCACAAATGGGCAACCTAGCTTCCCTCCCTCTGGTTTGCCTTCCAGTGCCAGCGGTGTGACAAAGGGAACTCTGCACAGCCTCCTCTCCTGTTCTCCCTCCCAAACCTGCACATTCAAGCCCGATTCTCCTTGGCACCTGCCAATCCCCTTGCACCTGAACCAGGATGTGGACGTTTTACACGTCCCTCCCTCGGCCATGCCCATCCCCTCCTTCTTCCCTTCTCCTCCTGTGTTCCCAGCAGTGCCATACACCTGCCCGGGACTGCGCTCCCTCCCTCCCCCCTCCCCACGCTGCCCGCCCTGGGGCAGCGAAGTGAGAGAGGCAGGTGGGCGGAAAGCGACAGCTGGTGTTGTTCCAGGGAAGGTTTAATGAGCGTTGCCTTCCTTCCCTCCCCCTCTCTGCTCTTTGTGCAGCGAGTTGCCCGGGCTGCTGGCTCTAATCAACCCCATTAGCAAGGGCTCTGGTGCTAATCTGGGGGGCTCCTGATGCCCCCCTCTCCCCCCACCCCGCATGCCTGGCTTGCCTTCCTGCCCTGCTGTGTCAATATTTGCCCTGAGCAAATGCAGAGCCCATGACAGGTGTGCAGGGGAGACGGCACTCTCCTGGTGACAACCCAGCCCTCGGGCTCCTCCATGCAGCCCCCCACGCCCTGGCCCCCCTTGCTGCCTGCCAAGCCAGAGCTATTTTTATCAGGCCTATAAAAGCCACCGCAGGGCCAGCATCACCCTCATTTTCCACTTGCTCGGCTGGGAAGGTGAGTCCCTCACCTGGAGCTGCCAACGTGTCACTGGAGCCAGGTGAGATGTTCCCAGGCTATTGCTCAGCAATGCCGTGGGGGGGGGGATGGGCGCTGGGAAGAAGAGGCTGGCGGCTGGAAGCTGGAGGCTGCCCCAATGGGGGTTTGTTATGGGGGGCTCAACACCCCAAATGCACAGGGGCTTCTGCTGTGCCCCAGGACCATCCCTGGTACTTGGGGAAGTGGGTGGGAGAGAAAAGGGAACCTGCTGGGGCTTGCCTGATTCAGCACTGCACTTCTCTGCCTTCAATGGTTTTGCCAACAAGAGAGAATTTAAGCACATGCAGCTTCTCCCATCAGGTTGGGAAAAGAAGTTAAGCTTGGCAAAATTCTCCCCTCTGTCATTATTTTTAATTGCTTACAGCAACGTGGCTACCCAGTGTGATTCATGAGTCAGAGGAAACGGAATCTGGAATTTCCCTTCTCCAGACAGCATTCGGTCCTACATTGTACTGTTGTAAAACGGTTGGCTATTAAAGGCAAAGAAAACCTATCTAAATCCGAGGGTTTAGTTATGCTTGCCTGCCAGACACGACCCCTGCCTCTCCTTTTCTTTTATTTGTTTATTGTTAAGTATTTTTTTACTCCTGCCCCCATTTTTCTTTTATTTTACCATTCCCTTCCACCATCCCTTTTCCTTTCCTTTCCCTATAAGCTCTTTTTCTTCCACAGATACCTCGGAGTTCCCTTCCAGGTGATGCTCTGACTGGAATCCCATGTGGCGGCTGGGGCATATTTCGTGGCAGAATGACATGGCAGGAATGGGCTCCTTCACACATCTCCAGTAGCCTGTCCCAGGGCGATTGCTGTGCTTGCCTCGCGTCGAGCCCCACGCACAAGACCTGACGTGAATGTTTTGTTCGTTCGGCTCGCGTTAGGCAGGTCCAGCCTATCTGCAAACACATGGCATGCCTGCACAGTGGAAGTGGGTGACATGCATGTAGCATACATACCTACATGCGCTGTGTGCTCATGGGGCATCATGCGCATCCTTAGAGCCTTGTGCACCTGTGCCCTCCTATTGCTTCAACACCCAGCCTCTGCATCAAGTAAGCTACGCTTGGCAATACAGCCTGTCCAGGAAAACAGCCATAGACAGCCTAGGCAACTTCATAAAAGGCTTGGCTTGGCCACTACAAGCCTTTTTCTGAGCATGGCTATAATGGGATATTTTGAAGTGAGTTGTCAGCCATCTTTGTCTTGCATTACACAGCAGCTATGCTTGGGAAAAGGTTTTATTGAAGGCTGCCAGCACTTGGAGGAATCGTATGTTCAGAAAGACAATGCAATTTACAAAGGACACCTGTAACATTGCTGCCCATTTTGTCCTCTAACTACTTTATCGACCAACTGAATTTTGCCACTCTTGTTACCTTCTTTTAATGCCTTTGACCTCCCCACTAATTG